AAACAAGCTAAGCATAGGTCTGCTTGCATAAGAATAATGGTAATATTCTTGTGTCCATATTATTTCTATGTTCGTCTTTGTTTACTAATTACGTTAATTATATTTTATCATGATCATGTTTACCTAAATTATCTATTATTGCAAGACCATGATGATAGTGTTGTGTCTTCGTACTGTCACTCAATGGCCGAGCCACACCCTCTAGTTTTTCCTATACTAGAGGAAGCTAGTTTTGGGGGTGTGGCAAGATTAAGACATCTAAAAGCCAACCACGATCTAGTTACTACTTTGGTGGAGAGATGGAGACTTGAAACGCATACATTTTATCTACCATAGGTGAATGCAACATCACATTAGAAGATGTTGCACTATAACTTGGGCTACGAGTGGATGATCATCTAATAATTGGACCTACAATGTTCGACTGGGAAAATATGTGTGACATGTACTTGGGACCAATTACATGCCAATGCTAGGGCAAATATTAGGGTTAATCGAAGGTGTTTTGGTGCTTGACAAAATAGGTAACAAAGTACACCTTATATATTTACAATTTTTGACTAATTTATGTAGAACCAAGCAATATAGTTGGGATTTTGTATGTTTAGCTATTTGTACAGGGAAATGTGTCGAGCAACCAATATTAGGATAAAAATAATGGGTAATTTTGTCTCACTGTTGCAATCATGGGCATGACATCGCATGCCACGTATTGCACTAATTAGTCGTGTACAACCAACTTATCCATTAATGTACAAATGGAGTGGGGGCAGAATTTTAAACTTTTAGAATGTACCACACAATGATCTAATTGGGTATCAAGCAATAATTAATCATATTTAATCTCATCAAGTAAACTCAGTTAACACTTTCATTATTAAATATATATTTTAAATTAATTTTTACTAACTATTTACTCATAACTTTGTTGAAATTTTTATGGCACTATATCGAGCGTTATAAACATCAATAATACTGATACAAGCATACCGGAATTCACATTGGGTACATCTTGCACGATCATAATTTGTTTTATAGTTGTGGTGTGACATGAGTCTGATCGGGTCAAATTTCAATTTGATTTGTTTTATGAAGTCTTTTCTCCCTCGTAAAATCTAGACAACTTGCACAAAATTGACATGCAGGAGAGACCTGGTAAAAATTGGCAAATAAGACATGTTGCATAGATCAATATATGAAACAACAGAAGAGACCTTGTACTAACAAGTTTACCAATACAAGAGTTTTTCTATCACATGAGAGAATACATAGAATGATACACTACCAATTTCATTTATTTATTGTTTGTGTCAAAACTACTTCAAAATCCAAGAAACCAACAACTTAAATTGGTTCATCCAGTACATCATTATTTGTGATGTCTCCACACCAACCTTTCACAAGTACTTCCTATTAGACGTCTCCACCACAATCAACAATAGATCATGCAAGACTTTCGTTTGCTTTAAGTTGAGATGACTTTCTTCCAAATTTATTTGAACAAAATCCTACAATCATGTCATTTACCCATGATTTACCCATGATTATATACAATCAATGTACCCACCACACTATTATCAAAGAAGGAACTAATTCATCTGCCGTTCTTCCTTATGAAACACTTGAGCAACAACCACCACGTATAATATATATAAGCTGGTGTAGGAAAAAAAAAATCCAAACACAGTTTAGAATTCGATTCCTTGACTGCATTTCAACTTTTTACGTGACTCATTCTTATTCAAAATTCTGTTTTTCGAGAATCAAATTTTGACCTTACGTAATAAAATAAGACTATTTGGATAAATAAAGTAGAAGATGATCTATTTGAGTAATTAATTTTTTAATTTTATTTGGGAAAAATATCTCGTTTTTTCCTTTTTTTTTGGAGTGAAAAAAGTTGGTAGATGAAAGATGCAGTGAAGAAACAGAAATTGCGTATGCTCCCAATGATTCATCCACGCAGAAGTTAGAACACACCATGTGATGATGAACAAGTAAAATCACAGGGATAAAACTGCCAAGTGAAATCACAGCCAACAAGTACAAACTATATATAGCAGAAAACACGAACCATCTTTCTCGTGACCAACATTATGGTTGAGCATACACAAAACTGCCATGAACTGCTGCATGCCATTCACAAGATCACATGACAAAGAGACTGAAGTTTCTATCTTTGTTCACCCAGACAAAAAACCATAAAGAAAGATGACAGTGAATTTAGACACATCCATTGATATTGGTAGTTAAATTCCAAGAATAAATTAAGATCAATCTCAAAATTATTACAGGTCTATGCTGATCCTATCTATCTTCCTTTTTCGTTTGTGGGACAACCACAGACAACAATACAAGTATGGCTTCTTGCAAGTGACATAAATTCTAACCTACTTTTCTTTTTCTCTTAAAAAAAAGGTACTTTTTTTCAGTGGCAGAAATTGTAACCTACTTCGCCATTGCTATTGAAGTTATTTGATAGTATGGAAAGGTAGGAATAGCTTTCTTGACAGCATATAATATTTTCAATTCCTTGAATGGAAACAGGTCCCAAAGTGACACTATGAGCTACTTTTATATTTATTGGTAAAGGTTTTGTTTGGGTCTCACTATTGAGGAAGGTAAGGTAGGTAGTTCATTGTTGCCAACCAAAAGGACTATCTAGAATCTACACAGCTCATGACAAATATTTCTGGTAATCTAATATAGTATCGTCAGGCATATCCGGAAGGAATAATTTATATAAATAGCTTCTCATCATGAAATATAAAATATAGATTTATTTTTTAAATATTTTTTATTGATTTTATTTTAATGGATTTTTTTATATATTTTAAAAAATTCATTCTCTTTTTTATTCTCCCCTTTTTTATTTTATTTATTTTTATGAACCAACTATAAAAACCAATTTACCTAATAAGATTCATCCAATAAAAACATTATTTATTTAAACATCTCAATTAACAATTCTCCTAAAAATTTAATAATTAATGAAAAGTATTTAACAATGTCTAAACACCAAATACTTTTATAATAAACATTAATGACAATTAATCTAACATAATTTCATTTCTATATATACACATTGACGAACTAAAGATTACTATGTATTCTTTTTATCTAAATATGCGGGTTTAAGAGTGGACTATATAAATTAAGATAAATATTACTTTTTATTATTTTTAATAAATTTAATGTTTTTTTATCAGTATCTTTATTTTTTTTCTTTAAAATCATTTCTAATAACGTATTATATGTTTTTAATAAATATAATTTTAAAGATAAGGTTATAATTGATAAAAAGTAATTGATGTAATTTTAAATTTTATAAATGATTGATATTTTAAAAATATTATTAAAAAACAATAATTATTTAGAAATAGAAAGAATATGTTTTAAAGTTTGTGGAATTGATTCAATAAGAAGGGAGAAAATTTCTAAATTTTATTCGAAGAAATTAAATTAATTGCACTGAATTATCAGGAAATCCCAGTGGTGCTTGTGATGAAATAAGAAAAATGATATATTTTAAGAAAAGGGAATAGTGGGAAATTCAAAACCTCAATCATGTACATGATAATTGTTCAAGATGATATTTGAATCTATTAAGCATGATTTAATACTACAGATATGGACCATTAGTTTACTCACAAGTTTAAATTTACTAAATAAATAAAGATTCGAATCTTTAAGAGATTATGAAATATTAGAGGCAAGTGATATGCAACCAACTATGCAAGATATCTAGAATAAAGCACGATGAAAATTTACAAATATCTCACATAATACATGAAATACCTTATTTTTTATATTAACTTAAGTATTATATTTTTATAGGTGAATCTTATATTTGTTCTCTGCCGTGGGATAAGAAATTTTTTTTACCCATATAAAGTAGGAGTTTTGATTAATCATCAATTAAAAAAAAGAATAATTCATATTAATTTATATTGTTTAAGTTGGTTTTAGAGAGATATTTTCGATTTTGAATAATTTAAAATATCTAAATGGAAGAAATAAAGTTTGATTTACATCATAATGCTTAATATCACTTTGATCATAACACTAATCGACCACTTTTTTATTATAGTTTTAAATCAAGCTCACCTCAATCTTAATTTTTCTTTATAAATTACTAATTTAAATAAAATATAACTTGATAAAATCAATTTTATATATATATATATATATATATATATATATATATATATATATATATATATATATATATAAACTTATAATCGCTAGTCACATAGAAGAGAGAAAAAGTTAACAATTGACTTACATAAATAAGAGAACATAGTTTGGATAAGTTTACATAGTTTGGATAAGTTTTACAAATTTCCGTAACTCAACTTTACTTGTAAAACTTAGTTGATTCATTCATCAACACTGAAGATAAACTTTAAGTTTGGGGAGCTTTTATCCCTATTTGAATTTTTATATTAATTATATAAAATTAAATAAAAATATTTTGTCATTTGACCATCTTAAATAATTCAATAATGTCATAAAATAAATATACTTAAATACTGGATTATAAATGAGAGAACACTTTTATAATAAAATGAGAGAACACTTTTATAATAACAACATTGATTTTACAATGAATATAACATCAATTTTCAAACTATCATTAAAAGAGACATAGTTGAGAATTAAAAAAAATATATCAGTTGTAAAAAAAAACAACCATTCACCATTAATTATAATCTACGACGAATGATAATACTTTTAACATCAATTATTTTATAATTGATATAAAAAGTTAATTTTTATTTTTGTAAAATATTTATTGTTTTGTAACATTTTCTAACTATCGATTTTAGACTGTTAACCTATTATTTTATAATTAATATAGAAAATTTATTTATATTTTTTAAAATGTTTATTATTTTGTGACAATTTTTTCACTTATAGAAAAGATGTTGAATGTAAACATTTTTAATAATTATTTTTTACCATTGACGTAGAAAAGTTGATTTTTATTTTTAAAATGTTTATTGTTTGTGACATTTTTCACCTGTAAATAAAAATGAGTTTAAAAATGAATATAAAAATTATAAAAAAAATATAAAACAATCTCAATTAATATATAATTTAAAATTTTCATAATTCATACAAAAAATTAAAAAATAATGATAACGGATTAACGGCAATACCTGAAAGCCAAGATCATGACAAAGAATGAGGCTCATAACGTCTAAAACTATAATAAACAAAGAAAAAGAACGATGGAGTACGAGAGCCCGACCCGACATGAAGGCGCGAAAGAGGGAAAGAGAGGGGGAAGGCGACCATAACAAGAGTTTCTAATTAAATTTCTCCTTTGAATCCTTCAATGTTATGACTATCAGAGTGCATATGTCAGCGTCTGTCTCCAAATTTTGGATCTACAAATAAAAAGATAATAAGATGTAATACCAAAAGTCAAGAAATAATAGGGTTCCGGCCTTTCGTCCTGTTCATTGATTAAGAGAGAAAACACACAAATTCCTCTTAAGATATAAAAGTAAAACATTATATATATATATATATATATATATATATATATATATATATATATATATATATATATAAATGATGACCTCATTCATATTAATAAATTGTGCCAACATTTTTTTTCTTAACAATAACAAACCAGAAAATGCTATATACCCCACATTCATATTGTTAGAAATAATTTTATAAAACTCAAAACAATATCTTAAATATTTAGGGCTTATTTGTATTTTTTTTAATTTAGCTTTTTTATTTTTAAGAAAAAAAAACTTGTTTGATAATTATTTTAAATTATTTTTTTAATTATTTCATTAATGATATTAACTTTTTTTATTGATAGTTGCATCACTTTTAAACTTTTAGCTCGAATTTTTCTCGTTACATTCATGTCATCTTCTTTCATATAGAACATTTTTAAAATTAAAATGATTAACTTTTTTTTTTCAACTTATTTTACAATAATTTTCTTAAAATAATATCTAAAACCTCCCTAATTTTCTGTGGGGGTGACAGGACATGCCTTATCTTTCAATCACATGTTGGTACCACAAAATGGGCCAACCTTGGTTAGAGAAAAGAAAATCATATCAAGGCTCACTTACAACATTGACTTTAGAATCTGTTGGCATGACTAGCATTATATAGTGAATGATCTAATGTTTGGTAAGGGTGAGTTCATTTAGAGTTAGGTTCAACTCAAACATCATATTCATTTTTTTATGGTCCTTGTCCCCATTTTTGTCTGTCTCAAGCACGCTGCCACAACAAATCTCTACCTTGACCCTAGATCAGCATTTCATGTACTCAATAATGTAATTATATTCTAAATCACTCTTTTCCTCAGGAGTTAGAAGGAAGATGTAACATGTCAAACGCAAAATTTACCATAAGCTATAACTGTCTGTCATGGTGCAACAGATTGAAGTGTATGCATGATTTGGACAAATTCAAATCAATATTGATATTTCGATTTTGGAACTATTCCAATAGGACTGAAGGGGCATGTAGAAGATGGAAATTGAAAACTCTTTGTAGGGTCCAAATTGAATATCTATTGGGTAACAGACAAAATATTCTTCAAGAGGATATGAGGCAAGAAAACTCAAAACAATCAATGGGGGTCCACAGAGTCCTATAACTGAGAGGTATCTGTTAGTTATTAGGACACCTGATAGTACCTTAGTGTATCACATAGCTTTAGATGAACGTTACTTTGGATTCTGGTCTTGGCAAAGCTTGAATGCTTATGAACAATTGGTTTATCCAACTCACACGGTGCCTAGACCAAAGCAACAGCCATTTTCTTCGACTCCTAGGTTGTCTGCATAATTTTTCTCAACTATTCATACAAGAGAGAATAAGATGATTTAGATGAACATTCATCTTTTAGTATTGTTTTATATATGAAGATATGACTATCTTACCGAAATGAATCTTACCCAAATATGGGACCCTTAAACACTAGTTTAATTTAAACAATGGAGCCTAAGACATCCAAAATAAAATATAAAAGAAAAAGTGGAGGAATTGGAATTTTCCACCACTACTGGTGCAGCCACTAGACCCTAATGCCTAAGTTGTATTTTTGCACTTTTTGCGACAGGTATACTTCATTCCCTAATAACCTACATCACTAAGTCAAGACCTCCAGATAATGCTAGGTAATGTCCTCTTCCAACTAGTAAAATTAGCACAAGGGTTCCCATGAAATGAACTCATAAAAAGTTGCAGATATGTATGATTAACTTTTTACACTGCTTGTGAGATATTTATATTCTTTATGGCCCTTAGGTAACTTGCTTGCATCCACAAACAATTGATGACGAGTCTTTATCAATGACCAAAACCTTCAATTATATATTCATTTGTATACATAGCTTAATTACAAATTTTAATGGCCCTGTTGTGTTTCTTTTATTCGAGTGTCTGATCCTAGTAATTATTTATGAGATTGCTCTCACCAGCACCAGCACCAGCTGCTCCTACAACAGTGACATGAGAGTCAGTTAGTGTGTAACAGCCATCTGTTGCTGTTGACAACTATACCCATATCACACTATTCATTGATTCATTAAAAAAAGGTTTAATAGTTTTGTTCCCCAGCCATGGATTTAGGTAGAATTAATTAAAAAACATGACCTTTAATCCCTTAGTTGGGTACCAAAAGCTCCATAGTACTTTGGTCATTTTGATATGTATGCGTGCTTCTGAAATCTAATTAAACTCAGAATAATCCTTAGGTTAGTTAATATTCTTTAATTTACTTAAAAAGGTGCAGTTTTTTCCAAGTGGTCTGAACCAGATTTGTGACATTTCCAAGTAGACGAGCATAAAAGTTGCGCTCAATGCTTGGTACGGATTTCCATCACCTCAACATTAGAAAGGGCGAATTGGAGAGACAATTGGGAGATAGATCCAATCCAAGTTTAATTTAATTATGACTTAATTGCCATGATTACCCTTTTAATCAGGGTGCGTAATGAGTTTAAATCACACCTTAATTGATTCAGACGTCTAATCTTGCTCCTCACCATGTCCCCCGCAGACCCCACAGGAGCAGTATAACTAGCTCTACTGCTATATCTACTTCTTCTCTGCTCTCCACGCGTATACATGTTTGGTTTCATGATGGGACGTTTATGAACTTAATTTTTAGGTTTAAGTTTGTAATATTAATATTGGTGTTATGTTGAATAATAGAATGAGTTTATAATTAATTTTTAATAATTGAAATAATTTTAACTATTTTATGTTATAAAAAACTTATATATTAAGTTTCATTATAAGTTTTAATGTATGTAGATGTCAAGTATTAGTAGGCATGCCAGCGGTATAGGGCAGGTTTTGTCTCTTCAATTCTTGTTCTCAATTTTTTTATTCTTTCTCGTTTTTATTTTTGATTTTTATATAGTTATAAATTAAGTCTTCATTCTCGTTCCAGTTAGGTTTGAGTTTTTTCGCTCTGTCCCATTTTTTATATATATTATTTTTAAAAAGATAATTATATTTATAATAAATTAATTTTACTATGTATTTTTTATATATAAAAAATTTATTTATATTAAAATATGTATGTAAAAGAAATATTTAATATTTTTATGTATATAAAATAATAATAATAATAATATTATTATTATTATAACACTTGCAAATATTTGAATACTTATATTATTATTATTATTATATTATATTATATTTAAATATTTGATTACATATATAAGTTAATTTATTTTTAAGCTATTATTTTAAATTATAAAATATATAATTTATAAGAAACTATTTAATAAGTTAATTCTTATTTAATTAATTTGAAGTAATAAAATTTTAAATTATTAATTATTTTTAATTCTTTAAAATACAATTATTTTATTAAGATAAAATTTGATATATAATAAATAAGAATAATGAGATTAAAAAAATATGACATAATAAAATATAATAAATATAAATTATAAATAAAATAATTTTAGTTACTATTAAAATTTATGTAAAATATTTAAAAAAAGATAAAGATGAAAAAAAATTATTAGAGAAATTATGAAAATATGAAAAACTGAAAAATAATAGAAAAATTGAGAGAATAATGTAATAAATTAATTAACATAAAAGATAAAAAAAATAAAAAAGTGGATAGAAAAAAAGTAAAAATAGTAAAATATAAAAAAATAATCTTATATATAATAAAAAAAAGAAAATATAATTAAAATATTAATATTTTAAAATTTAAATTTAAATATAAAGTGGATCTCCGTGCAATTTAATACACGGAAAATACAAACCTACCTCTAATCATCTTGATTTTTTATTTTTTTTTTCGTCGGACCGAAAACCGATCGATCCCAGTTATTAGGTTACATGAGAGAAAGAAAAATACAAAATAAAGATTAATAAAATGATAAATGATATCACGTGATAACAAATAGTAAAATACTATAAAAGTGTTTTTACTCAATTGATGTACCCGTGTACATTATTACAATAACATACTCAAAACATTAAATTTGATTTTAGCACCATCAACATTTTACAAAATTAATGATTTTGTGTACATTTACCTAATAAATATATATTTTCTTCTTCTTTCTTCCTTCCTCATTATTTGCATCACACATGCAACATACAGAAATTATTGACAGCGCATTTATTTTTACACACTAGTTTATCAATATCTATTAACACCTATTACATGAATTGCTTTGACTCTTTACCAATTCTGTTCTTGTTTCTCTCCTCTTCTAACCTCATGGTGTAGGTATATGGTGACTATATAATATTATCTGATTTCGCTTTCTGCCACACACCATTTTCACATTCCCTCACCCTATACCTTACGATGTGAATCATGGAATACCCTCCATCATATAGCGTCTCTTCATCTTCTCACTCCTCCCACGATGAACCAGGCTCAGTATCCTTCTCTTCGCAACGCAGCCTTATTTCAGTTCCATCCCTCAACCCGTCCACCACCGCCACCAGCACCACCACCTTCCACCACTGCCTCACCACCTTCAAGGGTCACACCTCCTACATCTCCTCCCTAACCATCTCCGGCAAATTCCTCTACACAGGCTCCTCCGACAGAGAAATCAGGTCCTGGAACCGCACTCCTCTCAACTCTCACCCTCAAAACACCGTTCTTGCCGGAAACGGCGCCGTTAAGTCCTTAGTAATCCAATCCAACAAACTCTTCAGCGCCCACCAAGACCACAAAATCCGCGTATGGAAAATCAGCAACAGTAATAGTAACCACAGTAGCAACCACAACAACAGTAACCACGAACATGTTCACGACCATCAAAAATACACGCACGTGGCCACACTCCCCACCTTCGGGGACCGCGCCTCCAAGGTTCTGATCCCGAAGAACCACGTCCAAATCCGAAGGCACAAGAAGTGCACGTGGGTCCATCACGTAGACACAGTGTCCGCGCTCGCCCTGTCCAAAGATGGGACCTTGCTGTACTCCGTTTCGTGGGACAGAACCATCAAAATCTGGAGAACCAAGGACTTTGCGTGCCTGGAGTCTATCACCAACGCACACGACGACGCCATAAACGCCGTCGCGGTTTCATTCGATGGACACGTGTACACGGGATCAGCAGACAAGAGAATCAAGGTATGGAGGAAAGAGGAAGGGGAAAAGAAACACACGTTGGTGGAGACTTTGGAGAAGCACAATTCTGGGGTGAATGCGTTGGCCCTGAGCAGTGACGAAACCCTTTTGTATTCGGGTGCATGCGATAGGTCCGTCTTGGTTTGGGAGAAAGAGGGAGGGAGAATGGGGTTGGTGGGTGCGTTAAGGGGCCACAAAAAATCCATTTTGTGTTTGTCTGTTGTTGCTGATTTGGTGTGCAGCGGCTCCGCGGATAAAACGATTAGAATTTGGCGAGGTGTTCACGCACAATATTCTTGTTTAGCTGTTTTGGAAGGACATACGGGTTCGATCAAGTGCTTAACTGCAGTGGTTGACCACTGTAACCCGTCGCACTCCCAAGCATCTTTTCTAGTCTATAGTGGCGGTTTGGACTGTGACATTAAGGTTTGGCAGATTTTAGTTCCTGATATCTAAACTATACAAGTTCCTTCTCCTCTTTCTTTGGCTCTTTAATGGAAGATGTCAAGGGCAATTTAGCCTTTTTCTGTCCCTAAATATTTCTGTTAGAATTTTTTTGTTGATTATAAGAACTATATATACGATCATCTCCTCTGCCCCTTTGACTAAAGAGATGTTTTGTGTGTGGAAATAAATAAAACCAAATAATTTATTGAGGTGGCGATCGTTCAGCCGACAATAATTTGATCTGTATGAGTTTTGACTTTGTTAAACGGTACATCAGTAAACTCTCAGCGTGATTGAGAAGTGCTGCAAGTTGTTTAATGTGTTAAGCAAATAACTATCAATTTGGGTAGATTTTAGACCCCAAAAACACCAGAAATTATTGAGCGGCATGACGTCATCATTATTATTATTATTACTATCTACTTCAGAATTTTTCCTTAAACATGTTAGATTCTTTATATCTCAATTTTCATGATATTTTTAACAAATTTTCTATCTAATAACTTAAGTAAGTTATTTTACATAGTAATTGTTTATCATTTAATCTCATACTTTTTAATTCTCTCTTTCAAATTAATTTTTAGAGCACACTATTTTGCACTTCTTGTGATTTTACTCAATTATGTTAGTACCAATGACAAATCTTTACATGGTAAATAATAATTCGAGAATAGATCTTAAATGGTTTATATTTTAAAAATTTACAATATAAATTTCATCTAAAAAAATATTTTTTATATTTTATGTTGTTTATAATTATATATTTTTATTGAAATAATGGTTGGACTCAACCGTGAATATCCAAACATGATAACTTAAATGTTGAATATCCAAACATGAAACATGCAAACATGATAATTTATATGCACTTTTATATGTTAATTTATATGCACTTTTATATGTTAATTTATATGCACTTTTATATGTTGATGAATCTAAAAGCTTTTGTTTGCACGGTATTATTTGGTCTATATATCAAAATTTAGAGGTGGAATAAAAAATTAATTTTAGAAAGTTAATCAAAACAAATAATTTTACAGGAGATCGTAATATATTTTTTTAATAAAATCTTAAAAGAATTCTTTTTGGGATCGTGCCCCGCCAATTACCCCTCCCTTTGCCCCTGCCAGAACTAATAACATTTAATATTATATATGAAAAATCTTTATTTGACTCTTTCTTAAACCCTATTTCTCTTTAATATTATATATGAAAAAAATTTATTTGACTCTTTCTTAAACCCTATTTCTCTTATTTTTAGGAGGGCTTCTCCACTAGCAGATTTTTTTTAGAGAACTTCATTTATTATAGTGTGGATGATAGGAAGGCTTATATTTCTAGGTTTTTAAAAGGACTTCTAACAAGTTTATTTTTCTCCACTATTATCTAAAAATAATCAAGTTATTAATGATTTGATGAAATCAAGAAATAACTCTTCGGTGAATAGATACAGAAGGTCTCTTTTAAGAATAAACAATTTCATCAAATTAAGTATAATTGTACATATGATAGCATCTACTATATGAAGAATATCAATAAACCTTATTATTGAAATTACTCAAGATACCATTTTTCTAATTTCTAGAATCTATTTCTTAGTTCAACTCTTACTAATTAAAATCAAATAATTAGTAGATATGATTCATCTAAAATGAGATTGGGCTAGGGTTATGAATTATGAATCGAAAATCTGATGATCAAATCGATTCCATGATTCTAAGTTCATTCGATTCTAAACTCAACCGAAATAGGGTTATATACATTCTCATTATGAGAAGGGATCATTCAAACGTATCTAAATAGATATTATACTTACATATGAATTGTTTTATCTATTCTATTTAGATTAGGAATACACATAATTGAATCTATTTTTCACATAACTCTTATTATTTAGGATCCTATTAAATTCATCTATTGGGGTTTCTATTGAATCTATAAATAGGTTTTATTAGTCATTTTTTTTCTAGCATATATATATATATATATATATATATATATATATATATATATATATATATATATATATATATATTTATCAACATTAATAATGATTTTTACAACCAATTTCAATAAAACTAAATTTGGATATATATCAATTACTAAAATCTTTTGTAATTATTTTTTATTGGTGTAAGTTGACATTATTTCCCAACTAATGTCACCAATGTTATATTTTATCAAAAAAAAAATCCTTTACAACTCTCATCACAAAATTTGGCATCTTACAAATTTTGTGATAACTTTTTCAACATCATCATAAATCATGACGGGATATGCACCATCATAAACTCATTAAAGGTCATTACAAATAGTTTTTGTCACAAAATTTGACTTGCTTATTGTTGCATAAGCAAGAACATATAAGCTTTAAGCGACAAACGCTTAAGCATACATTCAAGTGAGAGTTACATGTGCAAGTCCATTCATTAGTTCAAGCATATTCGAAGTTGTTTAAGTGAGATTCCCTTAATCGGTAATATGATCGCTTAAGCATCCCTTACTTAAACAATTGCACTTTATTTAAGCGAACGTGATTCTAACAAAGAGGAAGTGACTTAAGCAAAATGGTGGTTGCCCAAGTGAGAGTAGCTTTAACACAGTATTTCCACATTGAAGTGAGGGTCATTACGACAAAGCGTGAATGGTTTAAGTGAGAGTCACTTAAGAAAAATTTTATCAATTTAAGTGAAGCTTGCTACAAGTGTGTGTCGCTTTAAGCGAAGGTTTTTGGCTTAAGTAATGGTTACTTAAGCAGTTGCTTTAGGTTTAAGCAAATGTAATTATAAATAAAAATATAAAAATTATAGATAGAAAATAGTATAAAGGGTACAAAAAAAATGAATCAATGATCAATATCATTTTATTCTTCTTCATTTTCTTGTTGGACTTGTGTAGTTTGAATTGGTTGGGAAAATTGGATTGATGTTAGGCTGGTGTGCAAAACTATGGTTGAAATTGTAACATATCATGAGTAGTTTGTTCTCAAAACAAACTTGACTTTATTAAGAAGTTATTATCATTTCTTTCAAATTTTCATTTTCTTTAAAATAGGTTAGGAACTAATGTTTTCATCTTGTCATATTTAGATAATGTTATCTAATTTGAGGATGAAGCTTTATGTTTGCCTGACATAAAAGATGTTTTGATTAGGGATGGTAAAACGGGTCAGTCCGCCCTGTTTTGGCCTGTCCCGCCTTTGGTCCGTCAAAAGCGGGGCGGAGTGGGCTGACCCGCTATAGTCATGATGGGTCGTAGACCTTGGTCCGATCCTGTCAAAGGACGGGTTAGCGAGTTGGCGGGCGGGTTGGCCCACCATAATTAAAAAAATAATTTATTTTTTTAAATCAAAATTTTCAATAAATTTAATAATAAGATTATTATTTGTTTCTTAATAATTCAAAATATATATATATATATATATATATATATATTATTTTAATTTAATAATATAAATCAACACATTGTTTTAAGAAATTGTAATTTAGAACAATAATAAAATTTACATAATAATAAATAATAACAAATATATATATATAAATAACATTAAAACTTATAAAATTTATATTTTTTATATTGAAAATTTCAAATACCTATATCTTTTTATTTGATAAATAAAACTTCACATTGTTCTCACTTGAGTAATTCTTACACCTTTAATTCAAGTCATAATGAAGAACAGGAGAGAGAAGATTGTATTTTAGTAAGGAGAATATTTTCTCGTGAGAGTGAAACTTTTTTAATTCTCTTTTTAAAAATTTTAACTTTATATATTATCTTTATAATTAATTTTATTACAATAAAAAAATATTTTTTTATTAATTAGGTGGGTCGCGGCTGACCCGCTCCGTCCTGCGAGTTGGCCCGACGGATTGGCGGGCTTGGCAAAAGCGGTCGAGCGGGCCGACGGGTTAAAAACACCAACTCACCCCGCCATATTATGCGCGAGCTGGCAGGTCGACCCGCCAAGCTCGACCGTTTTGTCATCCCTAATCTTGATCAAATGGATGACTAGACACATCATCACTTGACTTGGCTAAAGCTCCATCAATAAGACAATTTTCATTCATTATGAAAAGAAAAAAATTGTTATATTTAATATATATATATATATATATATATATATATATATATATAACACAATAAGTGAATAACAAAAAAATATTAAAAGACACTCATGCAACACCTTTAATAGTCTTATGGGTATTCTTCAATAAATTCTAACAAATTGGGGTTGTATATGCAATTGCCACTTGTCCCGAAAATATACACAAATTAGAATGTAGTTGAAGATATTAAAAAAAATTACACATACATGTAATTAACAATATATGAAAATATTTAAAATTACATTTTAAATATTTAAAAAAACTCATATCCTAGGATTCTCAATATTCTTGTATTTTAGATACAATTTTAAAATATTTGATGTTATGTTTTTCATTCAAAGAGAAAGATATCAAATATCTGAAGTTGCTTTTTGTATATTATATGGATGATTCAATCCGTAAGAACCATGATTAGAAATTTTTTTATCGTCTTTTCATCTGCTTCCCGAAGAAATCGAAGAGTTTCTTAGGAATCCTTAGAGATAAGAAATTGTTGAAAAAAGAACAAAACATCTCACTCTTTCTAGGCAGTGGCGGATCTTCTTGGAAGCTGAGGGGGTCGTGATCCCCCGAAAGTTTTGTAACTCCCATGTAATTTATGATTTTGGTTCTGCCAAACTTATTGATCATTTACTATATTTACTTGTATATTTACAATTTTATCCTCTTATCACTCCTAACTCTTATATAATTTATGATTTTGTCTCCTCAAACTTAATGATCATTTAATATATTTATTTATACATTTACAATTTTATCCTCTCATCCTTTCATCTTCTTTCACCCTTTTATATTTATTTATTATTTATTAATAATATATTATTTGACCCTCCCAAAATTAATGGTCAAGATCCGCCACTTTCCAAGCAATCGGAAAAGAAAGAAATAGTGAATTTCTTT